GTGCATGCCCGCATGGGGGGGGGGGGGGGGCTGCTCCCTCTCCCTCCCTCACCCAAGAAAGAAAAAAATCAAGGAACGTTGTAAAAATAAACTCTGAATTTTGGAGATGAAATGAAATATACACAGATGTTGTCATCTTTTCCTCCTTCACCCCAGGGCGTCTCTGACCACCCTGCCTTAGAGCCCACAGACTCGGACACTGGTGTTCTGGAGAAGACAGGCAATCTTAGCACCCAGCGGCGGGTCCCAAGCTCTGCTGGACTCGGAATTGCCTGGGTCACCTGTTCCAGGGCCCGACTCCTACAGTTTCTGATTCTAGCCTGAGTGACCTGGCCCAGGGAGTCAAACAGCACACTTTGAGAAACTCAGTTATCAGGCCAGCAGGTGTCATGGGGTTAAGGCACTGGACCACAACATGGCCAACCATGGGTCAAATCCCAGAACTGGCAGCTTGAAAATCACACCAGGTACATGAGTGCACATGCCCAAAATTCTGAGAAAATGGAGAAAGGATTGCAACATGGCCATCCCCGCTCCTAGGGGGTGGGGGATGATTTCTCACTCCCCCCACCTCGCCTCTCTCTCTCTCTCGCAAGTGCACATGCTCTATGGCAAAAACCTAAAAGAAAAGAAAAAAAGCTCTGGTATAGGGGCAAATAGCTGGCACGGTGGTGAAGGTACTCAACCCCATATGGCCAATTCCGTGGGTTCAAGTCCTGGACCCAGTAGCCTGAAAAATATGCCAGGTACATGAGCATGCATGCCCAAAATCCCAAGAAGAGAACAAAAGAGAAGAAATTGAAGCATGGCCATCCCCTCGGGGAGTGATTTTTCACTTTCTCTCCTTTTGTCTCTCTCTGGTGAGTGTACACACCCCATGGCAAAAAAATGAAAATAAAAAATAAAATAAAAAAATAAAAAGCAACTGTTATCAAATCCTCTTTTTTAAATGTTTTTTAGATTTATTCATTTAATTTCATTTGTTCTCATTTTTTAAAAGATGTACTTATTTATTTAATTCCATTTGTTTTGTTTGTTTGTTTGTTTGCTTTTTAATTTGACCAGACAGAGACAGAGAAAGAGAAAGCAAGAAAGCAAGCCACCAGGTCCAGGATTCCAACCGTGGTTGGCCAATGTGGGAAACCAGAGCCTTTAACCACCACGCCCACCTGCCAACTTCTCATTATTATTTTTTTATTTGACCAGAGACAGAGAGAGAAAGAGAGAGAAAGCGAAAAGCAAGCCGCCAGGTTCAGGACTCAAAGTGCAGTCAGCCATGTGGGAATTCAATGCCTTTAACCACCACGCCACATGCCGGGCCCCAAATCCTCTTTTTAAACCCTCAAGGTCAGAGATGTGACTGCAATGGGTTTGGGGAGGTCTTTTGGGACATTGGGCATGTCCTCAGTTTAGAGAGCTGTGATGGTTCCCCCTGTCTGTAAGTCTACTAAAAATTGCTGACCGATAAACTCGACAGCAGAATTTCATGGTACATAAATCACACCTCAATAAAGCCGTTTTCAAAACATGCAGCAGCCTTGTCTGACTCATCACAAGAGTCCTCCCGTGCTCCTATGGGATCTGCGGTGTCCTCGGAGGACAGGCAGCCCCCTGGTGGTTTTTATTCTAGTTCCGAGGACACGCCAGTCTTGTGGAGTCCTGAGCCCACAACACTCAGCTATCTTAGATCCAGACCAGGACAGGCAAGTGGACTTTGGAACTTCCGCTAAGGAAGGACCTCCAGGCGAGAGCTCCTGGAAGGAAAAGTCATTTTTCTCACTTTCAACACTTAGCAAAGAACATTATCTGTGCTGAACCCCAAACGAACCATAAAAGCTAAACTATGCAATGCTCCTGAGAGGGATGCTTCTGTAAATACCACAGGCTCTTCAAAATACCACCCAAACAGGCAGGGGTGCGTCCCCGGTACACACGACCACACATGCAGCTACCTAACAATCGTCAACCTGTGGGCAGGCCTGAGAGTGAGACAGGGTGACAAGCCAGACAATTCGAACCATAGGAGCCTGGAGGGCATGTGGGGGCATGTCCCAGAGGGAGGGTCTTTGCACAGAGCCGGGATGAGCAGCTTGCCCTGCCCTGGAGGAGAGGCTGAAACGCCATTGTGCAAGGGGGCAATGTGCAAGGGGGCATGGCCGCCCCTAGACCTGACCACAACCTGACCTTCTGGGAGGACCAGGCAGTCACTGTGGACAGCTGGCAAGGGGAAGGGTCCTTACGCTAAGTGAGTGAGAAGGGATGGAGACAGACAGCCCGAGAAGGCCCAAGTGGAGCCTACAGGAAGGGCCGTAGCTAAAGGCTGCAGTGAGGATCAGAGAGCAGGGCGGGTTCCCAGGTCCGCAGAGGGTCCAAAGCTCCTGGTCAGGACTGGAGACAGAGATGGAGCCAGGAGTTGGGGGGTGACACCCAGAGAGTGACATGAGAGGGCCAGCACCAAGCTCTGGTGATGCCAACGCCAAACTGCCATGCAGAGGAAGTTGGACAGAGAGATGGAAAGAAATGGAGACCACATAGCTTGTCGTCCCTGTCCTGAGATTTCTTTAAGAGCCCTAAAGCACATCTTTGACAAAGGTCCATGGGTCCCTCTAGAGACCAACCCATTGTGACCCGTCCGTGGGGCCTGGAAGAATCCTAAGGGTTCTGTGCCAGTCGTAGCTGATGACTTGAGCTGTTAAGAGTTCACCACATGAAACCCACCCCACCGCCACACTGTCCCCTGTTCTGCCATCTTCAGGAAAGACCCTGGAAATCCCAGTGTGCCTGCTAGTGAATGTTCCAGAAAACTAAACGTCAAACCTAACTATGTCGCCAAGGATTCAGGGGTTCTGCCTTCAACCTTTCCTGGACTTTGACGATGGAATCAGAACCTGTCTGGCAAATGCAAGCAAAACAGGGCCTCCTTCCTCTCCTCAATCTCCAGACAAGTGCCATGACCAGGAGCTGGGCGTGGCCGCTCCCTCTTCCCCTCGACCTGCCTCGGAACCACCAAGGGGGTTGTTGGTTTGATTTGTCTTATGTTAAAAACACGGAAGTCCAGGCCCTTCCCTGTCTTACTGAAGCAGCATCTCCGGGGCACCGGGACGGTGTCAAGAGCTTTGTTTTTGCTCTGCTTCATTTTGGAGCACCACCGGTGATTCTGAGGCACAGCCAAGATCCCCATCTAACTTCTTAGCACAATTAGGATACTTACCAGTAAGATTTCTCTGGAAAATTTTTGAAAAATTTTGTAGGAAAAAAACAAGTGGGAGCAGAGAAACCATCTCTATAAATTACTTTTTTAAAAAAATAGGGAAAGCATAAGTCATCTCTATAAATTACTTTTTTAAAAAAATAATTATTTAACTTTATTTATTTATTTCAATTTGACCAGAGAGGGACAGAGAGAGAGAAAGTGAGACAGCAAGTCCCCAAGTCTGGGATTCGAACCGTGGTCGGCCATGTGGGAGTCCAGCACCTTTAACCACCATGCCACCTGCTAGCCCTAAATTACTTTCTTTCAGGATTACTGAGCTGAACGTAGAGGAGACCCCCTAGGTAATGAGTGACACATTAGCATTTCACAAGGACACCCTCTTGGGAGCCAGATGGCCCTGAGGCAGACCCACACCGAAAGGTTCCCAGCTCATGTCCAGACGCCTCCCTGAGTACACACACACACAGGTGCCCAGGATCCGAGCTGGTTGGCGACGGGGATGGGTCTGGGCATCAAGGCCTCATAGGGATCTGTGTCTCTGCCTTTGTTTCTGTCTCTCTCACTAACAGACTAAACAAACCTAAAAAAAAATAGGTACTGCTGCCCAGCTCACAGAGGGAGGAAAGGGAAAAGCAGGCATGTTCATGAGCTGGAACTAAACCAGTAAGATGCCCAACGCTCTTTCCTGCACCAGTTATTAGGAAAACGATTTTCCCAACACCCATCAGCAGTTCAGCACAGCAGAGGAACCCCGGGGATGAGAAAGGTGGGCCAACGTGGGCCACAGCCTTATCAGAACTGAAGGACCAGGGACTGCCGTGGGCTGGGTGGGCATCCTGGGGGCAGAGTCCAGGGTTTCTTTTTTGGGGTGCAGAACACAAACTTGATTGGGGTGATGGCTGTTGCACGGCTGTGTGGCTACGCAGAAACCACTGAATGACTAAAAGGGTGAACTGTACGGCCTCGGGGGTTACAACACCACGCTTGGGAACAGAGAGGACTGTCTGGGGGTGGAAACAGGAGGGCTCACCTGGGTGTAAACACTGAATATGTGGCTTTGCACTTCATCCATCGAGTCGAGGCCGTAGGCCACCGTGCCCAGATGGAGCCGTTTAAAAACCATCTCATTCTGGGTAAGCGTTCCTGAAACACAAGACCAGGAAGTCACCCTCCCTACTTCCCAGAGCGCTGGGTGTTTCTGTTTTTGTTTTATCCCTATGGTTTTTGCTATAGGATGCATGCACCTGTTGGAGAGACACAGAGATAATGAGAGGGAAAGTAAGAAATCACCCCGCCCTCAAGGGAAAGGCCACACCACAATCCCTTCTCCATTCTCTTCTGGGGATTATTGGACACACATGCACACACACTTGGTGAGATTTCTGAGCTACCAGGTCCAGGACTAGAACCGTGGTTGGCCATGCAGGAGTCCAGCACTGTAATCACTACATCACCCGCTGGCCTAGGTGAGGACACTGGCTATTTTCTGAGAGCTTACCCTATGTCACGTACGGGCTTTAGAACTGCCCTGCTGGACTAGACATCTGCAGTAACTTGCCTGTCTAGAACCCCACTCATTCTTCAAAAACGGCATCCTAGGTTGCCATGGGGAAATTATCACGCCCACTCCCTGGGGTTGCCCAAGAAGCTGTCAGTCATGATGCCTGACTTGTGCCATTGGCCAACAGGGTGGCACATGACACACACAAGGCCACTTAGATTCTATCTTGAAGGACCCTGAACCCTGAGCAGAAAGAAACATGGACATATGGGTAGAATCAAGTCTCCCCAATGAGACAGCCTTACAAGGACCACTCTGGGGGTCCCAGTGCTGACGTGTCCAAGACCTTTCTGGTTCCTCTCCTCACTGACACCATTTCTCTGTGAGTTGGTGAACTACGCAGGACGGTCGCAATAGCTTTCCTTCTACACCACGGCCGCTGCATGGCAGACATGAAGCTTAACCTCAGGGCTCTCGACTGCCCGTCCTTGCCCCTCGCCACACAATAGCCTCAGACTGGAGAGCTGATAAGTTGTGGAGCAATTTTGGGGGTGGTTGAGATCAGGACTTGAGGCCCGACTGCCTGAGTTCAAAGCCTGCTTCAGACACTATGCACCCGTGTCACGTGACTCGACCTCTCTGCCGCATTTCCTCATCTGCAATAGGGGACGGAAAACGACCCGGCCCACCAAGTTAAGATGTGATCTGAGTAAACTAGGTCAGTGCCCAAGCAGTGCCGTGACACAGCTGGTCCTACGTGGGGTTTGCGGCTAGCATAGTCGCCGTCTTCCTCAGAAAACCGGTCTTGTGAAAAGGTGAAGAGAACGCAGCACACACGCCTCATCCTCAGGGGTATCCGGGAGCTTGGTCCAAGCACTCACACCCCTCCTCTCGCCTGGAACGCTGCGTGGCCCCAGGAGTGGCTCACCTGTCTTGTCTGTGAGCAGGTAGGAGATCCTACCCAGCTGCTCAGGGATGGTGCTGGAACGGACCACGGTCCCGGGGATTTTTGAATCCCGTCGAATCACCCAGCTGTACACGATCTTGCCCATGTCCAGGTTCACCCGCAAGCTAGTCAGAAAAGCAGAGCACACTGTTAGCGGGACGCATACGCCTTTCATGAACAACACGGATTCTAAATACACTTGTGCATCAAGTCTGGACTCACAGCTGGCAGAAGCACAGTGCCGGGCTGATGTCACAGGTTCAGCGAGAACAGGACTCCACGCCACTGTCCAATAATGCCTGAACAAACCGGCCCCTCACAAAGCCGCTGTTACTGACCAAGTCACTCCAAGTACGCAAAGGGTCATCCTGCCCACCTTCCTTCTGTGTGTGTCCTTTTTTCGTGGCAGGCATGCATGAGAGAGAGGAGCACCCTCCTCCAGGCCTGCTCACACCACGGCCCCCTTCTCCATCCTCTAGCCCATCGGATCTCAGGCACTCACGCACGGGCCCAGTGTGTTACCGGCCAACCCAACTGGGGATTTCAACCGCAGCTGCCATGTGAGTTCTGCTTCTCAGGAACAGCAAGTCACTGCTACACCAAGGAGTCGGCCTCACTCACTCTCTCACTGACTTATTTATTTAACAGTTTTTGCCATAGAGCGCGTGTGCTCACTAGAGAGACAGAAACACTGAGAAAGAAAGTGAGGAATGACCCTCCCTCCCCCAGCGGCAGTGGCCATGCCACAATCCCCTCTCCCACACTCTTCTCCTGGGATTCTGGGCATACACACATATGTGCCTGGAGTAAGTTTCAAGCCACCAGGTCTAGGTGGCCATGTGGCAGTCCAGCGCCTTAACCACCAAGTCACCTGCTGGCCCTATGGCCCTTACTTCTTTAAATTACAATTCCCCACACTAACATATTTTTTATACTCTATCCATTTTCAAATTCTGGTAAAACACACCAAACATAAAAGGTAGCATCTTAACCCTTTCAGTGCTGCCCTGCAGGGCTGAGCACATTCACAGTCACATGGTGTCACCACCGCCCGCCTCCAGAACTCTCATCTTCCTGAACCCAAGCTTCACTCCTGTGACAGCTCCTCGCGCCCTCACCAGCCCCTACAATCTGCACACTACTCGTGTCCCTGTGGATTTGATCTCATTAGTAGTCACACAGTGCTCTCAAGTTCATGTGATCACAGGCTCTGTCAGAATTTCCTTCCTTTTTAACAGTAATATTCCACTGTATGTATATTCCATTCATTTAAAACACTGTATTGTGGGACCAGCAGTTAGCGTAATGGCTATGTCGCTGGACTCCCATGTAGTCGACCGTGGTTCAAGTCCCGGACCCGGTGGCTTAAACTCACGCCGGGCGCGTGTGCATGCGTGCCCAAGATCCCGAGAGGAGAATGGAGGAGAAGGGATTGCGGCGTGGCCATCCCCCCTGGAGGGTGATTTCGTGATTTCTCGCTTTCTGTCTCTCTGTCTCGCTCCGTTTTTCTGGTGAGCGCACACGACCTATAGCAAAAATCTCTCCAAAAAATAAAAATAAATAATTGTATTGCAAGAAAAAAAGAAGAGAAATCCTCAAACTGATTTCATAAATTAACCAAATTACTTGCCATTTTACTGGCTAGCTTTTAGCCACATGAAGATTCAATTCACTAATTCCAAACACGTGACAGATAGAACTTTAGTTTACAATTACACTCGGCATCACTCTGTAAACACCTGTTTGGCTAACAACAAAACAGAAATATGAGCCGGCTCCCTGGTAATGCACTGTCCAGAGAAGCTGAACCCCATGTGGCAACTGTGGTTCGAATCCCCTGCCCAGTCAGCCTGCAACATGCTGGGCATGCGTGTGCGTGCCCAGACCTGACAGGCTACAGGGAGGGGACATGGGGTTACTAGATCCTTTGGAGGGTCCTATTCTTTCTCTCTCTCCCTCCCTATCTCTCTCTCTCGTGTGCACACGCACACACAAGCTCGATCTTTTTTTTTTTTTTAAGATTTTAGTGGAGTAAATAAGCAGACTCATTTGTTTTCTGAACCATCATCTGGAGTGGAGCATGTTGGTTAGGGTAGAAACCCCTCTTCTAGTTACACTCTTGTGTCAAAAACCACAGTCTGTCCTCAGAAAGACAAATGTTAACCAGAATAACGTAAGTCAGCAAAATGAGCAAGCCAAACTACAAGATAATATGTCAAGTATAAGACATTATGAGCACTAAAAGCTTCAGAAAAAATATTTAGCTTAATAAATACTCACTGATCATCTACTACAGGGAAAAAGTAGAAATAAGTACCCAATAATATTGGAGAAACAGTCTATGAACCTAGATCACATAATAAAATGACTCAAGGGGCCAGCAGGTGGTGTGGTCGTTAAGGCGCTGGACTCCCGCATGGTCGACCAGGGTTCAAGCTCCAGACCTGGCGGCTTGCTTTCTCGCTTTCCCTCTTTCTCTCTGCCTGTGTCTCTGTGTATTTCTCTCTTTCTCTCTCTGGGGAGCATGCATGTCCTGTAGCAAATTTTAAAAATAATGATATAAAAAATTAAATCACTAATTGTTTTTGAAAAAATAGAGTGTCTCGGGACCAGCAGTTAGCGTAATGGCTCTGTCACTGGACTCCCACGTAGTCGACCATGGTTCGCGTCCCAGACCCAGTGGCTTAAAACTCACGCCAGGCGCGTGAGCGTGTGTGCCCAAGATCCCGAGAGGAGAATGGAGGAGAAGGGATTGCGGCATGACCATCCCCCCGGGGTGTGATTTCTCACTTTCTGTCTCTCTGTCTCTCTCTGTCTGGCGAGCGTACGTGCCCTATGGCAAAAAAAAACACTCAAAAAAAAAAAATAGAGTAGCTCTAAAAAATGATGCAACAATATATTTGTGAAAGGTAAATACTAATCTGTTAAAATAAATGTATACACGCACACACACACACATATGTGTGTGTGTGTGCGTGTATACAGCAAAATTCCCTTTTCTAAAATAGAAAGCAGTCTAGATTTAAAAAGTAAATCCCAAAATATTAACAGTGATTAACACCTAGTGGTGAGATTAGAAGTGATTTTCTTTTCTTTTTTTGCTTCCATGCATAAGAATTATTTTATTTAACTTTATTTATTCATTCATTTATCTATTCTAATTTGACCAGAGATGGACAGAGTAAGAGAAAGAGAGAAAGTGAGAAAGCAAGCTGCGAGGTCCAGGGCTCGAACTGCAGTCAGCCATGCGGGAGTCCAGCGCCCTTAACCACCACGCCACCTGCTGGCCCGCTACTTTACAGCCTTATTCTTTTCCTACTATGACCATCTTATCACCCATATCACTTTTTTTTTTAAGGTTTTTGCCATAGGGTAAAAGTGTACACTTTTGTGTACCAAAGCGGGGAGTGGGGGGAGTGTACATCTTTGTGTACCAAAGGGGGAGGAGTGAGAAATCACCCCCAGGGAGGATGGCTATGTCGTAATCCCTTCTTCTCCATTCCTCTCTTGGGATTTTGGGCACACATGCACATGCACCCAGCATGATATTCAAGCTACCGGGCCCAGGCCTCATACTGTGGCTGGCCATGTGGGAGTCCAGTGCTTTAACCATCATGCCATCTGCTGGCCCCTCACCTGTATCGCTTTTAAAACCACCTACTCAGCCTCCAAATTGGGCAGGTAGACAACTGGCACATGCGGCCCGCCCAGCTCCCACAGCATGTCTCCAGCCAATGCCGCTGACCACGTGCAATATTACTCCCCTTGGAGCCCACACTCGAGCTCCAAATCCTCATCGCGGCACTCCCGGCCTCACAGAGCGGTGCTGAGCTGAACACTAAGTGCAGGCCAGCATACACTGGCCGAGGCAAGGAAAGACAGTTTGGGCTCAGAGAGGTTCTAGAAAGGATGGTTCAAGATGAATGCACCCTCCAGTGCTAAAGCCACGGAGCGCAGGTCCCATTCCTGCCCTGCCTGCTCACGGTCATCACTCTGCAGAGACCAGCTCCCTGTAAAAGCCCCAGGACCGTGACCTCTGAATTAGTACACAAGGAAACCTCACCACACCCGAACACCAGCTGCCCCTGCTCACCTGATAGGAATGATGTTGGAGAACAACAAGAGGAAGCGGATGATCTGCAGGTACCAGCGGCCCGCGAAGTGCTGCAGGGCGACCATGACCAGTGACACCACCACCAGGGCGCCAAACAGGATCTTGGTGAGGCAGTTCACCTCCAGGTCGAACAGGCCGATCTGGGGGCAGAGCACATACCGGGCTTGAGATTACCTGGTACACCCACAGCCCACCTGGAGAGCTGCCCTGCACCCATGGACACCTCAGCCCCAGGCAAGACAGTGGGCCCACCCATCCTCCTGTCTTCACTCCTAGAACACAGGGCTCTGAGGGCCAGAGCTCATAACAGACACTCAAGGGACCTCAAGAAAGTCTGATTTCAATTTTTTTAAGTTATTTATTTTTTTAAAGAACTATTTTTATTTAATTTTGTTTATTACTCTTCTTCAATATGACCAGAGGGAGACAGAGGAAGAGAAGGAGGGAGAGTAAGAAAGCAAGCCGCCAGGTCCAGGACTAGAACCATGGTCAGACATGTGGGGGCCCAGCGCCTTAACTACCATGCCACCTGCCAACTCCAAAGTTTATTTATTTTATTAAGCAAGAAAGAGAGAGAAAGAAACAGCTACCTTCAACAGGGTCTTATCATGCCAGATCCTCCCCATGAAGCCAACCAGGATCATGGTATATGTGACCCTAATATGTTTCAGATCAACCCTGGGATCTGAACCATGGTCTTCCACATGGCTCCAGAACTCCAGAGTGGTGCCCTACATGCCATTGTGACTGGGCCCCCAGTTTTAGGAGGGATTTTTTTCATTCTTTGTTTTTTCTTTTTTTTTTTTTTTTTGGTTTTTTGTTTTTGTTTTTGTTTTTTTGCAATACGGTGCATGTGCTCACTAGAGAAAGACAGAGAGAGAAGGGAAGTGAGAATTCATCCCTCGGGAGATGGCTATGCCATAATTCCTTCTCTTCCGTTCTCCTCTCGGGATTTTGGGCATGCACACACACATATCAAGCATGATTTTCAAGCTACTGGGTCTGGGACTTGAACTGCTCAGTGGGCCATGTGGGATTCAGCACCTTAACCTCCACATCACCTACTGGCCCTATTTTTTTCTTTTTAAAGAGATTTTTGCTTTAGGGTGCATGCACTTGCCAGAGATACAGGGAGAGACGGAGAGACAAAAAGCAAGAAATCACCCCCCGTGGGGATGGCCATGCTACAGTCCCTTCTCCTCCATTCTCCTCTCAGGATTTTGGCCATGCATACACACATGCCCAGTGTGAGTTTGAAGCTGCTGGATCTAGGACTTGAACCACGGTTGGTCATGCGGGAGTCCAGCAATATAACCATTATGCCATCTGCTGGTCCCAAGAAATAACTTTTTTTTAAAGATTTATTTATTTTTAATTTTATTTATTATCATTGTTCTTCAATTATGACCAGAGAGAGACAGATAGAAAGAAAGGGAGAATGAGAAAGCAAGCCACCAGGTCCGGGACTTGAACCATGGTTGGCCATGTGGGAGTCCAGCACCTCAACCACCACACCACCTGCCAGCCCCACAAGAAATAATTCTTAAAAAACAAAAGAAAAGAAAAGAACAACTTAAGGAGATGTAGGGTTGGAAACACACACGAAATAACCGTGTGTTGGGCTTGCTGGGCACAGCCTTGTCACAGCACAGCCACCCTCCAGACGACTTGGGTCCTACACTCTTGACCCTACAGCACGCACTGACCCAGCACTGCCTGGCTTCTAGGTGCTGCATGAATGAACATCATTATTTTAATACTCGTGTGTTTCCTTTCAGGTGTGTTCAAGCGGATGTAAGCAGTACGTCAGAGCCTTAACTTCGCAGACACGGGACTCGGGAAACAGCTAGAACACCCAAGGAGGACAATGACGTCATCGGTGTAAGGACAGCTGTCACGGTGGGTAAATCGGACTGAGGTCAGGGAACAGCACCGACAAGGGAAACAGGTCTGCCACGTCCTGGGTCTCCGTCGCTCCCCACCAACACCGACCATCAGAATATAGAGCCGGCCATGCATCGCTGAACGCCACACACCTTACTTCGAGGGTTGGAGGTGTTCATGACACTCCGGAGTTCTCTGCCAGTGTAAAGGACGACCCCCACCACGGTACCTAAAATGAAAAGACAAAACCCAAAGCAACGTTAATAACAACAAGCCGCCTACAAACAGGAATTGGGCCCACTTGAGAGAGCATTTTCGAAACCCGCAGCCACATGAGGATGTCAGGAATGTTATACTGGGGCCACCCCATGCTCTGTGGCCACCCCAACTCGCAGGACAGCCACTATCCTCAAGTAACTGTTTAACTTCAATTAATGTTGGGACCAGCAGGTGGCGTGGTGGTGAAGGCACTGGACTCCCACATGGCTGACAACAGTTCAAGCCTCGGACCCAGAAACTTGAAAATTATGCCAAGCTCATGTGTGTGCGGGCGTGCCTAAAATTCCAAGAGCAACAGAAGGGACTGCAGCGTGGCCATCCTTCCAGGGGGTGGCTTCTCGCTTTCCCTTTCTCGGTCTCTCTCTGGCAAGCACATAAACACAAAGCAAAAAAAAAAAAAAAACTTTAAAAAAAA